AAAAAAAGCAATCCACTATGTCAACAGAAAGTGACTAAAGCTCCAGCAGCTGTACCGTCACCTTTAAATATAAACTTTTGTGGATGCCAGTTAAAGTGAATGATCAGTCTGGTTTAAAAGTGATTTAAACTGTTCTGTTGAAGCAACAAAAAATAAGAATAAAGGCACAAACACAACTTAACTCTTCATTACTGAGCCAGGATTGGCTGCACAGCTGCAGGCCGCTCACACCTGCAACCATTTGTTCCTCATTAAAGCCTCAGAACAAACCTGAGAAGCTGCTGCTGCTGCTGTCAGCTACATGGCTGAATCCAGGAGAGTTCAACTGACCACTCTGAGCCAGGATGGGCCTCCACCCTCGGCCGGTTCGACCTCGCTCCACCAGTGTCCCTCTGGGGCTCCGCAGGGGGAAGAGAAGCGCTCAGACCCCGACACGGTGCGCCTCGTCCTGACCCTGATTGAGCCCGACGAGCGGAGCTTCCCAGAGTTCAGCTACAATCAGCTCATTGATGTCAAGGTGGGACTTTAGCCGGATTGCTTTGGAGAAAAAGGATGTTAAATTTTTTGTTTATTATTTTTTTTAGCAAGCCACAAGGACTAAAACATGAGAAAATAAGTCTTTGTTCATGTAAAACATGTTGTAAGGGCTCATGGTTGCACTAAAAGCACTTAACCAAAGATGGTACAGAGTAAACCAGGGTAAGAAGTTCCCCATTACTCCTTCCTAGATACCACTGGACATAGTTACTGGACTGATTGTGGCCTTGCTGCCATTTGGCTGCTCTGAGGAAACCAAAAGAAGTGTTCAAGTTCAAGTTGAGTTAACATTTTAACAGTAATATACAAAATAAACCTCTGCTTTTTACTATTAGAATATATATAAAACTGTTAACATGAGCGGTATGGAGTATTTGGCAATTAATTTAAAACGGACACAAACAGACAAACCAGCAAGTTTTGTAATACATGAAAATGTAAGATTTTTAAGGGAAGATGGAGTGATTATTTATTTTGTTTTAATTATTGGGCCTAAAGTTCTGGTAAAATAATGTAATTATTCTCTAAAACAGTAACATAAAAGCAAGCAAAGAAAAAGTATATGTACTGTATAAAGATTGGGGTTTAGGCAAACCGATAAATCTTTACATTTTAACCTGATGGTTGCACCTTTTTCAAGATATAACTGACTTGAACTGTCTGGACTAAAAACACTCTAATTTAGTTCTGCTTCACTTTATCAGAGTCAACCTTTGCAGAGAGAATGTTCACATATTGTTCTCTGGTCTGGGAGAGGTTTAGAGCTGCAGCTGGATCATTCCAAAGAGATCGTTATCCTGAAAGTGCTTTTTCTTCTTTTTTTTTTTTTTTTTTAGGCAAACCTGAACATTTTTCATTTGTGCTGTGTGTCGTCTACATTTGCTCTTAACCAGTAACATATATGCTGATATTTACACATCTGAACAAATCTTACAAATGTTCCTTTTATTATGACACAAGAATTATTCAAATAGACCTTGTGGTTGCAGAGATAAACTGTTGTAATTTTCAAGCAGAGGCCTGATGATAAGCTCAGGGTTTCACAGGTTAATGCTAATCAAAGTGCAGCCCTGCTATTTTATTTGATCATATTTTTGGAATAAATTATTGAAATGGTGATCCTAGTTTTCCAAACAGTTAAAACCTGATGTGCCAACAGATTTCAGTCTAGTAAGTCTAAATGCCATAAAAACAGGCGTCATGTAAAGTTGGTTTTAAGTTTATGTGAAGTTAAATGTGACTATAAGGCAAAGTACAGCTGTTTTGTATTTTTGTGTGTCGTCTGTGATTAATATGTGAGTTTTGTTATTTTTTATAGATCAATCAATCCAAAGCTAAAGTTCCTCTGAGCAGACTTGAAGAGGAAGAAAAGAGAGAAAGTGATGAAGTTGCTGCCATCGCAAGAAAGTTCGAAGAAAAATATGTGAGTAGCTTTACAGCAAACCTGAATCACAGATTTGGCCTGGCATTATTTAATATCCTCCACATGTATTATGTTTACGAAGTAAGAAATCTGCTTAAACAAAAGGTTGTTATCAATTTGATTTGGAAATGATTTGATATGTTGCCTCTTCTTATTGCAGGGCGACAAACCTAAGAAGAAAAAGGATCGCATTCAGGACTTGATAGATATCGGTTATGGTTATGATGAAGAGGATTCTTTCATTGACAACTCTGAGGCTGTGAGGCTTTAGACTGACATCTGAATTCATACATACTATAAATCACACTATTAATTCTACTATTTATTCCCAGTTTTAACATTTAGAGGTCCATCAAGCTTTAGCTTATTACATTTTTTTCTCAAATTGCTAAAATCTCTTTTGATGGATTGTAATATCGTTTCTGTCTGGTCTCCAGTACGATGAGTTTGTGCCGGCCTCCATTACAACCAAGTTTGGTGGGTTCTATGTGAATTCGGGCATGCTGCAGTTCCGCCAGACTTCTGACACTGAAACTGACGACGTCACAGCAGAGGAGAAAACACTTGACCTCACAAAAGTAAGTGGTGCATCTCAGAAGCATCAGCGTTGTCATGATGTTTGGTCAAATTCAGGGTGAAAAATTCAAGACGCATTAATGTTGTGTCACGTGACTGAGTGCACCAAGGTTCCATTTCATTAAAAAGTTTAATTTCTTTAAAAAGTTTCAAACTTCTGGATTGTTTCTAACACCTTGTAACAAATTGTTAGAAACGTAAACTCAGTGGTGGGCAGGATAAGCCCAAGAAGAAGAAGTGTGGAGCAGGCGAAGAGAAGAAAAACAATATGGATCCTAAGTTAAGGTGAGGTTGATCAAAATGGCATCACCTCTTGTTTCAAACCACTGATGCCACAACATTTGACCTGATGATTCTCTAAATTCTCTCATAAGCTTAATGTGTTCATCTTTAGGACTTTGTCTAAAACTAGGCCGGACAAAGAGATGAAGGTCAGAAGGAAGAAAAGAGCTGCTAAGACGTTGAGCGTCACCAGCATGCTGAAGAAGTTTCAAAAAGAAAAGGAAAGGGAACGACAGAAGATGGAGAAAGCCCATCAGAGGGCATCTAGGATTATGGGTGCAACCACATTCCCTGTGTTCCCGGCAGATGCAGCCGGAGGTGGAGGCTCGGGACAGACGGACCCTCTCCTCACTTTGATCGGCTCAACCAACGACCACGCTCTCATCCAAGCAGCCAGCACACTGGACTTTGATATTGATTTGGATTCTTTATTAGATGTCAGTGAAGAGACTTCATCGCAAAAATCACTTCCTCAACCTGCCGCAGAGACGCAGCGAATCCAGATCAAAACAGACGATCATATTTCTGATGCTAAAGCCCAGACTTCAAACACAAACTCTCAGCTGAAGCCTCATCCAGAGCAAATCCAGCTTCTGTCAGAAGTCAGTTCTGCATCAGCACATCAGTGTGTCCCCCTGCCAGAGGGACTCCCCCCGGGACTAGAAGAGAGCATCAGAAAACTCACAGTGGTAAGGTTTTATTTGAATATTCTGACGTCAGTAAGTTTGGGCACTTTTTAATAGACTGAATGCTCGTGACCAGACAAATGCAGGATAGACTCACAGATGGCATTCGCTACTTTTCAGGCTGCCAAGACCTCAGAGGGAGAGTCAAAACTCAAGTTCTTCAATCCAGATATCAACTCAATCCTTCTGGAGTGAGTAGTGCCACAACACAAACAACACTATGGCAGTTTGTCTCAGACCAGGAGTGTACTGGGAGCCTTTTATAAAAGCCTAATCGGCTGCAGAATGCCAGAATTATGCATGTTAAGATTTGTGTAATTAACCAGCTTTTACTACATGATCAGGTTGAATTTGAACAGAATCCACTCGTAATATTGTTCCTGATCAGGCGGTTCAGTGGGCACCCCGTTTCAATAATGGGCTCTTTGACGTTGCGCAAAGATTCCTGCTGATGGTTTGTTTAGCCTGCTTTTATTTTGTAGCCCTGGCAGCAGTCTTGGTTGTAGTGATGGTAACGTCCATCTGCTGGTTGGTCGGCCGTTTCCAGATGATTGATTATACTGACTTCGGTGTTCCTTTTCCTCTTGTACCACCGTGAGATTGACTTTCCTTGAAATTTTCTTCTTGGGGATGAATCGTGATAATTTTGGCGAGCTCTTTTGATCTAGTGCCACCATCAGGTCAGAATCATTGACTGAAAATGGATGAACCCTTCATGACATCACCCATAAGTGTTTTTTGTTGTCGTTTTGAATCAGTCTGGTGGCTGCAGCATCACCATCTGCACTCCTCCTGGTCTGGACTGGATGTAAGGCATACAAGTCTGGCACTGGCCAGTCATGACAGTCTGCTTTGTGCTTTCCTACCACTTATCTTACTGGTTTCCAAAACCCCTTGACTAAAACAAGCACCTCTGAGCAGCAAGCTACCTGCTGTTTATTTTTGCTGTAAAGTTTAACATCGGGTTTTTGAAGTCAGGCTCAAGTGGACATTTGAGCATCTGCAGGCTGTTTCTGGCATTTTCACACTGGCTTCAATTCTCAGCACAAAAGTTTGCTGCTTGGTCGAGACCAGTCCAATTCTTTTGTTTCTGATCAAATATAAAGAACTTCCATCAGCTCAGAGCTACTTGACAGCTTTCTGCATGTTGTACATTGGCAGGTAAACAGTACTTTGTAATGTATGCAATCGTGTATAGAAAAATATTTTTACAAGAAATGAATGAATAAACATATGTGAGAAAAATTCTATCTTTATATTTTATATTTATATATTTTTTTCTCACATATGTTTATTCATTCATTTTTTGTAAAAATATTTTTCTATACATGATTGCATACATTACAAAGAACTGTTTACCTGCCAATGTACCGCGTGATGAATGCTGTGCACTATGGGTACTTAAGATGGCGGCCTCAGTCTAATGGTTAGCAGGCTGAGGAAGAGCATTTTGCTCGAAACGTCACACCAATAAATTGTATAAGGGAGCCTATTTTTGGTGTGCGGATCGTTCTTCTCTTCTTTTCTCATTTTTCACATTTTGTGATCCAGCACCCAACCCAGTGGGCCTCGGGGATGTGCGTGCCTTTCCTTCTTTAAGCTTTCTGCATGTTAACACAGTAAACTAAGATGAACGCAAACGTTACCTGTTCACCATCAGCATGTGAGTGTCATTGTTGGCAAAATGTGAATCTCTTCTATAAGTGCTGCTTCCTTCTAAATCAATATAAACTTCATAATCCCACCTTTGACATCAGCACAGTGAGAAGTTTAATACAAGATGTTGGGTAGAGCAGTGGATTAAATCAAAAGCCATCTGATCTGTGACACCCCTTGTTCAGCTCTCTCACTGTGTTTTCATTCCAGCATTGAGCTGCAGTGTCGGGAGCAGGGCGGTCAGCTGCGCTCCAAGGTCTACACACACCTGTCGTCCTTCCTGCCCTGCAGCAGAGATACACTCCTCAAACGTGTCAAGAAACTGGCAATCACACATGTGGTGAGTCTGCTCTGGGTCTCAGTTCTGCTCCTGTTACGCCTAGCGTGGGTTGTTCTCGTTTGATATTTGACTCGCTTCTTGGATTTGCCTACGATAACGAGGAGCCCCCTGCGGTGGAAGATCCAATGCAGAAACTGAAGGAGACCATTGGAAGATCAATGCCCGAGCAAATTGCGTGTTTCCATGAAAACTGCCAAGCGTATGAACAAACAAAGACTGCGAAGTAAGTTGATCAGCATTTATTCTTGGGTTTAAAAATAGATCATCTCTATTTTTTAGCTGTCCTGTTGTGGTAATTTATACTTAAATTCCTACTTGAAAATGATAAATAATCAAGCGAATTACTCAGAAATGTCACAAGTCCTATTAAATGAGTGAAAACATATTAAAGGCGTGGAAACCCTAACATTCATTCAAACATGTACCAGAAACGTCAGATCAACAAAAGATGGCAATCGGCTTGAAACATCCTGACTGTCAAATCTGCTTTCTAATCTTAAATAAAAACCAGAAGGACAGCACACCTTTAGGTCCCATTCAAGGGGTTTTTCTGGAGGAAAACTTTAACCTTGAATTACAATGAAATGTGTTGATCTATAAAGTGTCATTCAGCTACTTGATATCATACAATTTGCTGTAATGCATAAATACGTCTTCTAATTGGGTGTGGACTCACTAGAACTATATATTTTTTTCTTTCTAATTTTGACGTCTTATGTCAGGGCAACAGAAGAGGACAATGTGGAGGAGAAAGCTGGGAAAAGAGGAGGTCCGAGGAAGTTCTTCAAGTGGAATGAAGACGTCAGGTCAGATATAAAGAACATCAGCGGACTGTTTGAAGTTGTTCCGTATTTCACTTCTGAAATGAGTTAAGCTTTGGTGGTCCATGAAAACAGGGATAGTAATGTATATTTTTTTTCTTCTGTGCAAATTTTCTTTCATGCAGGGAGTGCTTGGCTCACGTGTTCAAAGAAAAAATCGACAAATATAAAAAGGAAAGAAAAGAGGGCCAGGAGATGGAAGACTACCTCAAGACCTTTATAGACAATGAGGTCAAGCCACTTTGGCCAAAAGGATGGATGCAGTCCAGGTATGCCATAATCAAAATGAAATCCCAACTTGCATGATTTTAAGGTATTTCTTTACCTGATTGTACGTGTTGACAGACCCTTTGCCTTTGCTTGTTTCAGCGTGCTGTTAAGGGAGAGCAAGAAAATGTTAGGTGCCTTTATGTCATTACCGTGAGTGTAACAATGCGTAGAGCTCCAGCTCCAATTTATTACCTATGTCAGTTCACTAACTTTGTCTTCCACTTGTGTTCAGAGTGAAAAAGGCCAAGTCTGACAAGAGGCAGTCCTCCATGAATGGCGCTTCCACTTTGCCAGATGGCTGCGGCAGTTTTCAGGGAGCTCCGTCACTTTCAGGGGAACTCAGCCGAGGAACAGAGCAAGTCTTTACTGAAGACTTCAATATATCCAGTTCTGTACCACCTGGTGTTGTACAGAACGATGGTGTTGCCTCGAGAAAGGATGCAGTTAAAGTGTTGGACTTGGATGTGGGTTTTGCTTCACCTACAGATTCAGACGGACCTGTAGTCAACGCCACATCAGCGCCTACTCACTCACTCCTGGACATCCTCGCCGATCAAGCACTGGCTCGAGAGCAACCTTTTGTACTTTCCCAGGAGCTCCTAGCAGAGGCTGTTGCAAAATACAGGCATGCAGTTCAGCACTGGAGCTTCAGTGTGGACAGCAAAAGTTCGCCTGTGGTTCCTCCACCTCCTCAGTCCAGCCCGGTCAGTTTCCCAGTGAGCAGAGCTCGTCCGGTTGCTTTGCCTCGGCTGCTGCTGGCTGGAGACGCCAGACATGTGGACGCTGATGGAGTGCAGATCATTTCAGATGACGACGATGACATTATCATACAATGAGAGCTTCCAACAGACACATGCACAAAGTAAGTATTTATTTTTGTTGCTAACCTTACTTTTTTTTTTTTTTTTGCTAAGTTTGTCAGAGAGAGAAAATCTATTTGTTTGACAAGAGGGATGGACGGAGAGATTCTTGAAGCTCCTCCAGAGCAACAGAAGGCATTAGTATTATACAGATAGGTTACCTTAAATGTGTAAAATCACTGCCCCTTAAAGGAATATATTGTGCAGCATGTTTTGGTAATGACTGTATGTGATAACAAAATGGTCATAAATACCCGAAATGACAAAACGGTGCAACCAAATTGCGCATAAGACACATTACCTTTTAGGAAATGTATACAAATTTGAGTTTCATGCTTTATTTCAAGAACCATTAAGCATGTTTATTGATCTTTGTCTAACACACTAATATATTTAATGCCAATTTAGTGCTTTGATGGTAAAAACAGATGATATTCAGTGGCATGGCCCAGCAATTTTGTCAAGTAGGGACAAATCAATACACTGATATTTGTCTTCTTTCTAGATGTAGCAGGGTGCTGAAGATGGACTGAACTAATGACAAGATTCCTACAGAGTAGTTATGTTCGTAAAGCCAGCAGCGGTAAATGACTATCCAGCAAAACTTAACTGATCTGATTGAACACTGAGGATGTGTTGTTTGTGCGCTTTCTGCCATCTGTGTTTGTTTGCGTGAGTGTGTCTGCAATAGGATGGAAGCAAATGGAGTTAAATTCATGCATCAGAAGTGCCACTTTGACCAAAAAGCAGACAAATGAACTGACATCCAACCCTCTTGTCTGAGTCAGACCCTGCGACACCCACTTATTGAACCACTTCCAAAAACAATGTTTTAACAATGGATTGTATTGGAAAGGTTTTGTTTGAGATGCAAATGATTTACTTTGAATTAATAAATAATAAAGAGATACAATGGACAGCCATTTCTTTTGTGCTTCGTCTCCACATGAGGTACAGCAACGGAAAATTTGGTATCGCTGCACTACCCACACACACACGGTTTCCTTTGTTTTCCACAATTATTCAAAGTCGTATACAATTAAAATGGCCAAAACCTCACTTGAAAATTGACACTATTTATTCACTACTACTGAAGGAGTGTGTTTTAGTTTCTTTGTGAGCTCAAGCCAGCAGAATGGACATTTGCAAATTTAAAATGCATTTTCTACTCAGATGTTCACCAGTCTTTACATGTTTGATATTGTAATTATTGACCCGTGTTTGCTATTTATTTTTTAATGTTCAATTTTGTTCCCTTTAACCGTATTTTGTCACAGCACAAACAGTTTACAGCTATACAAGTGTAAAGTAAGATGTACTGCTATTGGACAAGTTTTGTTTCAGCATTTTAAAATCAGAGAAATAAGACCTTCTGCTTTGCAGTGTCAAAAATGCAAACAAAAACAAAACATGTACACAGCAAAGACATTAAACAGACATAACGTGGAAGAAAATCTACCGTGGCTGAGTTAATGAGCATGAAACTGTACAAGACTAACATGTGGTTTTCCTGCTACAGCAGCTTTCAGTTGGAAAGATGTGGACTTCACCTTCTAGGCAGGTTACATAGAGGCTTCACCATAACAGTATAAGAACATGTACCTGAGCAGCAGTCCTCAAGAAGAGAGCTGTATCTGCTTTCAGTGAGCACAAATGATGCGCACAAAGGCATTAACATTTAAGACGAGTGATACAAAGCAATGAATCTTCCCTGACAAACAGGAGCAGTTCATCCAAACAGCATGGAAAGAAGATCACAGCAGGTTCTTTTAGGTTTTACAGCCAGTGAATCATCTGAGTTACCAGGACAGCCAACAAGAAGTGTCCATTACAGGTGTTTGCAGTTCCTAGAAAGAGGGAATCATTTAATCAGTGTTCTTTCAGTTTCATTTTACCTCATTCACCTTTTGATCTGGTATGATGAGCAGCATTTTTCAAACTCAGGACAATCATAAGTTAAGGCATGAAAGGTTTTCCATAGAAAAACAAAGGTAGTTTAAAATCTACATACGTTGCAGCTCTTATGCATTCACTGATCTGTTTTTGTTTCATATTCTATGTGGAAATGTGACAACATTCATTTGATAAAAGTGCAGCAAAAAACATAAACCTACCACTGCCAGCAAGGACCTCCACCTCGACTGTAAAATTTTTTTGTCCAAGAAATCCTTCGGTCCACACTATGTATTTTCCAGCATGCGCTCTGCTTGAGTGATTGGGAAGAACAATCACCTGCCCGTCTCTGATCCAGGTGACTGATGGTTCAGGGTTTCCAGTTACATTACATTTGAGACTCTCTCCCTCTCTTACTTGCAGTTTTGTAGGACAACTGAGCTGTGGACCAACTGAAAGAGAGCAAAAATCATAAGTGGGGTTGAAGAAAAGTTCAGTTGATGTGTTTTATGAAAGTAAATTGGTGAAAGGGTGTCAGAGGCAACCCAACAAAGACAGAGACTTGAAATATGTGACGATCAATGTCAGTAGATTGACTCACAGAGGACCGTGGCACTAAGTTTTTGTGACGTCACCACTGGAGGATGCTGTGGTCCTTCAGGTCCCAGTTCCAGTTTAGCATCACACCAGTACTGAGCTCCATTGTCTTCTTTAGTGGGAATGATGCCAAGAGTGAAGATCTCCGTCACTGGTGTCCTCTCAGTGGTGTTGTTGGACTGAACTTGACCCAGTGCTGTATCTCCTCTGTAGAAGGTCACAACGAGGTTTTCAACAGGTGCAACGTCCTGAACGGTACACTGCAGCGTGTACTGATAACCCTCAAACATCGGTCCAGTGTGATTTACCAGTGTGATGGACACTCTGTCGGGAGGCTCTGTGGAGAAAGACTGACAGATCAACTACACAGAAATTCTTGTTGCATGTTTTAAGATGTTGGACAGATAAGATTCTTAACTCACGGTAAATTATTACAGGAAGGGCAAGGTTGCATTGGCCTCCATGTTCAGATAGTGCAAAACATGTTACATTGATGCTCCAGACGGTCAAGTTCTTCACACTCCAGACTTTAAAACGATCCACAGTGATCTCAGCAGTTTCCTAGAGTGACAAAAGGTCACAAATCATGAAGCTATTGAGATTATAGTAAAATGAAGACAATAAATAGAACAGTTCTCACTACCTTTGTGGTAACAGGGTATTGGGTATACCTGTACAATGTAACCCCATGCAGCATCTATATAATAGATCTATGCAGGTCTTCAGACTGTCAAGCCCAAACGTGATGATCATGAACTAGGATCCATTTTGGACATGGATCAGTAGCCTCATTATCACTAATCAGTCTATGGGAATCTTTGTAGCCACTGGTAGGCCCAGGGTGAAAGATCTCTTCTAGCTGATGAAGCTAGTGATTGCTATTTAGCTAGCAAAGCTTACTTCTATAGTTGTGAAACTCAGCTCTGGGAGGAGTTCAGGGAGGCCATAGGGAAGGGCTTTTAGTTGCCCTGAAGGAGGTTCTGGGAAACAATAAGACAATCCAGGAAGGGAGGGCCAGGTTTTCCCTCGGGGTCCCTCTGCACGTACCTGGGAGGAGACCCAAGGGCAGATCCAGAACACACTGACAGCCTATATAAGCTATAAAGCCTCATAGTTTGGACTGAATTGATTCAGCCAGGAATTAACTTTGTTTTGGGGATTATAAAGTTAATCAAGTAAAGGAGCTGGGGATGTGGATTGAGGGAGAAATTCTGATCTACAATGCGAATACAAAACGTTTCAGTACAACGAAGACGTTGTCAGTCGGACTTTTGCTGCAGAGCTGCTGCATTGGATTGTGTACATAAAACTGGTGTACTGAATAACCTGCCAAATCAGTGTATGAATCTGATACCCAGAGACCTTGCATATAGTAGTTATATTTACCAAAACACTACAGACTTTTTTCTTTTTTAAAATGTCAACTAGAAGAAGATTCTTTGGTCTGATGAGACCAAACTTGAGCATTTGGCCATCAGACTAGACAATATGTTTGGTGGACACCAAACACTGCACATCATCACAAACCCACCATCCCCACCATGAAGCACGGTGGTGGCAGCACCATGATGTGGGGATGCTTTGCAGTAGCAGACCCTGGAAGGCTCATTCAGGTAGCAGGTGAAATGAGTGCAGCAAAGTATAGGGACACATTGCAAGTGAACTGCTGCTTGGGAGAAGATTTGGTTTCCGACAAGACAATGACTTGAAGCACACAGCAAAGAAATGATTTAAAGATAACAAAGTCAATGTTCTGGATTGGTCAGAGCCCAGACCCCAATCCAACTGAGGAGTTATAGCTGGACTTGAAAGGGCCGCTCACTCACAATCTCTACTGAACCTGAAAGAGCTTGAGCAGTTTTGCAAATACTTTTTTATCGGCACTGTATTTGAATTCTGCCGTATGTTTATGGAGAGTGTGCACATATGCCTCTGGATAATGGTTTTGTTTCTGTGCATACAAGGTTCTGAAGTTATAAATTACAAAATACAGAATCTGTCATTGTCATTACCGATGAGACTTCCCAACCCAGAGCAGAAAACCCCATCCTTGGTATAGAGCAGTTAGCTTTGACTGGATCTCCAAACCTGTGACAGGGGAATTTAAACACAGTTATATGTTACTAAATCTCATTTCAGACATGCATCCACTTCCATTAATTTGATGGCAATTTATTGTGTCAGCCTTGCATGTGAATAAGCAACCTGGTCACAACAACAATCTGACTAGGTCTAGTCGAGCAATGACCTGGTAACATTGTTGTATCACTTTTAAGAAGAAACAGAGCAGAGCTTCCCGGGTAATATGTCCACAAGTTTACACATTTAATACAATTCCCTGGAGCCCTGAATAATACAGTATTTGGTGCATATGCTGCATCTTGTGTTTTTATGCAAGATGCATGACAAAATGTTTATTATTGTTATTATTCCTTTTTAATGTAGTTGAATTAACCCTTTAATCACTGAGCCCGTATCTCCCTTAAACAACGATCATTCAGTCTTGCCATACCTGACCACCAGAGTTGAGGGTGACATCGTCAGAGGGCAGTGGAGTCTTTCTGTTGACTCTGCAGAGCTGCTGATGAAGGGAGGGATGTGGGATGGGACACTGAGAGAAGGGGAAGGTAGAAATGGGAAGCTTGTCGGCAAGGGAGGTGAAATTTGCGATGGAAGAGTTGGAGCAGGTGTGTACATGGAAACAGGAGATGAGGTAGCTGAGGTCACAGAAGCAGTCAAGGGAGTAGGAGAGGAAGCAAGAGACAATAATTAATTTATGAGTACACATACTGTAAATATATCTTTAAGGCTCCCTCCTAATCTCTGTGAATTGGAGAAATTTCTCAATTAATACTCAGAACAGATGGTTTTTGTGTTTTAGTCTTTTCAGTCTTCGAGCATTCAGCATCTGTCCTGACATGCTTTCTGGGATTTCTCATAGTTTCCCTGCATTGTTTTCTCTTTCCATGTGAATGATTTTTGAATATTGAGATCATTTAGCCCATTTTTAAATTACCTGTGATGTCTTCATCTACCTTAAACTTTAGGCTACATCATGTCATGTGTGATTTTGGGATCCTTTTTAGTCTGAACATCCCTTGAGGGTCTACAGTGAGAGTACACTGTATGCTTTTTTATAATATATACATTTATATTTAGCATTTTGTTTATGTATTGTTGGAAATCACTGATTAATTTGTGTGAATATTGGGAGATGTTGACCAGAATGTGCCAAGTGAAAAAGGATTCAGCCCACTGATGTCAGTAGTGATGCCACCTTCAGCAGTAACAGCTGCAACCAAACGCTCCCTATGAAGACCTAGATATTAGTCTTTGACATGGTGGCAGTATTGACCCACTCTTTTTGGTGGAACCACATTCTTGCAGTTACACTGGAGAGTTTTCAAGCATAAGCTGCTCTTTTGAGGTTCTGCTACAAGATTTCATAGGGTTTGTGTCTGGACTTTAATGTTGTACCTTCTGAGCCATTTTGGATGGTTTTGAGGATCATTATCTTACTGCATAACATAGAGTTTATGTTTCCTGCAGTTATGTCAGGTCCCTCGAAGCAGCAACGATGCCCCACAACATCACACTGCCACCTCTATACTTTTCCAATATGTTCGTCGGTGTTTGATTTTCACCAAATATACCAGGATCTCTGTCTTACGAACAGCTGAACCTCTGACTTCTCAGTCAATAGAACATTCTCTGAAAATGTTTGAGAGTCATCTATGTGCTCTTGGAGTTTGCAGCGTCTTTCAGATAGTGGTCATGAACACTGACCTTTATTGAGAAAGAGAAAGGCCTTTTTTTTTCTTTTAGATTTCCTTAGATATTTTGTGACTTCCTGCGCGAGTTATCACTGTGCTGTCAGAGTAATTTTGGAAGCTCTGCCATTTCTGGGAAGTTTCACTATTGTTCCAAGTCTTGTCCATGTGTAGCTAATATCTCTCACTGCGGATCAGTGGAGTCCCAGAGGCTTAATTCCAACTCATCCTTGCTGCATCCGTGACAGTGTGTGGCATAAATGTAGTCATCTTCCTGAGTATAAGACTCCATGCAGACCTGTCTACAGATGCAAAGGCAGTCGTGTGTATGCACACAGGAACAACTGTGGACATCATGGACACAGAACGATTTGTACTACACCACTTTTTCCAGACCACACAGAAGTCCGTTTGGAGGACTCAGTTCCATACACGTGAAGTTGTATCCATGCATTCTGTGAATGTAGACTATTGCTGAGCATTTTTGTGTAATTCCCGCTTGAACTTCCTCTGTGGATGTCTGTATGCAGCCCAAAATCTGTGTGACAGAATTTACGTCACACCACCTTAGCAGAAGGTTAACGCTGCGGTAAAACGCTGGCTTCATGACAACTATACATTTGTGGTGACAGCAGCAGTCTGTTTGCGTCCACACGGGGGTCAAATCAAAGCTTTACAAATAGCTCTGTCACCTTCCTAGACTGATGTATTTCAATCACCTTTCTCATCTCTGCTGGAACATCTTTAGATTTTAGCAGGCTGCTGATATTAATAGCTTTCCGTCACCTTCATGCTTTTGAAACAGGTCAATTAATGTGATGATCTAATTGACCAGGGTTGGTAATAACCAAGCACATATGTGCCAAATACAGCTGTAACCAGTTTTCATTGCAGTTTTTTAAATGTAGAGATGAACGGAGGGAATCCTTTTTGACACAGGCTCATTTGGTATTGGATAACTTTTTTGCTTCAATACATACAATTATCATCCAAACTTGCTTTTGTGGGTAACACTTTATAATAACTATCCGTTATAACTAGTTAATAGATCATTTGTAAACTGTTAATTAGTGAGTTATTAACCACTTGTTAAGTGTTTGTTAATAGTTTGTTGATGATTTATAATGATGCCTTATAGATAGTTAATAAACCATTTACAAACGTTAGCTAATGAGTTATAAATGACTTGTTAACTGTCTATTAATGATTTATAGCCACACCTTATAAACCAGTCAGAAATCGTGAACAAGCCATTAGTGAATTACTTACTAATGACTTGTTAAGTATCAGTTAATAGTTTATATATGTTATTGGGACGCTATTCTAAAGTTGCAACTATTCCTCATTTATTAACTGCTGGTAAATGAGGAATAGTTGCAACTTTAGAAAAACATCTCAATAACATACATAAGCTTATAACTAATACTTAACTATTACATTAACTCGCACTTTATAGATCACTTGTTAATAGTTTGTTAACCATCTACTAATACCAATGAAACTTTGTAGAACAGCAAATGGGTGGAACAAGTTCAAGGTACAGAAATTTGATGTGATATTTAAAATATCACAGTTTTGTACCTCAACCCTCTTCCACCTATAGACTTTTCTGTGTATTATATTTTACCAAAGACATACAACAGATAGAATGTTGAACATTGTCTTTAATGTATGAGGAATAAATGAGGAATAGTTGCAACTTTAGAATAACGTCCCAATAACATATATAAACTGGTACTTAACAAGTCATTAGTAAGTAATTCACTAATGGCTTGTTCACGATCTATGACTGGTTTATAAGGTATGGCTGTAAATCATTAATATACAGTTAACAAGTCATTTATAACTCATTAACTAACAGTTTGTAAATGGTTTATTAACTATCTATAAGTCATCATTATAAATCATCAACAAACTATTAACAAACACTTAACAAGTGGTTAATAACTCACTAATTAACAGTTTACAAATGATCTATTAACTAGTTATTATCTATTAGATTATAATATCTATTAGATAGTTATTATAAAGTGTTACCCTTTTGTGTTTACTCAGGTTGTCTTCATTTGTGTTAAATGTTGTGTTAAGATATCACACAGCTTAACATGTAATACAAACAAAACATACCAGAAACCAGGAGAGGGTTCAATAGTTTTTCACAGCACCATGCTTTTACAGTAGCACTAGTCCATGTTAGTATCTATGATGTGAATTCCAGTTACAGAAATAAAATGCTGATTAAAATGATGTGTCTCTGTGATGTTTATGTTGGCGCTGTATGACCTCGTGACTCATTTTTTCCCATCTTTACATAATACAGGCAAGGGTCAGTTGAATTTTGCCATCTCGTAAAATAATACTCTTTTTAGCTGATCTATTGTGAACCATTGTTTCATAGCGCACTGAATACACCCAGTTTGTTCCTCTGAGGAAGGAAGGACACCCTGCCCAAGTCAGAAGAACTCGCTCCTCTTTTCAATTGACTATTGTTCCACTGAATCCTGAGGTTGTTCTCCTGCCTATCAGATGATCTCACTCTAACTGGGCATGCCGGCTGTCAAAATTTAGAGTTATGTTTCCCGCATGCGACTCAGCAAAAAGGGCGGAATAAGACGACAGGCCGCTATGTTTACACAAAGAGGGATAGAGCTAAATGCCACCAAAAATCATGATTGAATGACATCTGTTTTTCCTGATTCACGGTATTCAGTGACGGGAGAAGCTCTCAGATCATAAACTCAAGTGAAGGTCATCATAATGTAATGTCTGCTTCCTAATTTCTATTTATGGGTATGACGCTAACACCTAAATTAAACACACATTATGCGGAATGGACCTTTACTGAGGTTATTATGATTGTTATGTAATACGTTTTTGGATTGCTACTATTGATGCTTTAGCTTGTAACTGGTTCAGTCCTCTATAACAACACTTCATATTTTGAAGATTATCTTGTTTGATTTTCAAAAAAATCTAAAAAAACCCAAAAAACTATAGCAGCAAAAAGCATAGTATAAGTATCCTGTATATTTATACATCATAAACATATGAAGGGATAGAAAATGGAAACACTTGAGTGAAGTACAAATCCCTCTAAAATGCACCTAAATGCAGCACTTCAGTAAATGTATTGACTTTGTAATCCTGCCTCTATCATTATCCATCAGTTACAGCCTGTACATACTGTATACATCGTCTATGTCCTACTGATTAAATATCCTTTCATTTCTGTCTTGTCAAGTTAACTTTAATGAAACCCCCAAAACTACACATTCCAAACTTGCCTCAGAAAACTTTACCAACATCGTGTCTCTACAGATTCTCAGTACTCGCTAATGTCTGTGTTTTTACCTCTTTAGTCCTCTGGAATGTTAAAAAAAAAAGAAACAAACTGAAAGGTAAACACAACTTGTCATGAACAAGCTAACAAGGGGTTGGAAGTTTTTCACTCTCTTGTGCTGTTTTAAATCTCCAGTCTGTATTTTCTGACTGTTTCCATCCTGAGCAGTTCCATCTTATCAGACACTCATCCAGCTCTCATTTCACTCACCTGAGCCAAAGAGGCGAACCAGCAGAAGTGTGATTGGCCATCCAGATGCAGACATCCTTCATCTGTTTCCCTCTGTCAGGATATCGGCTTCTGAAATGACGTCTTTGTCGAAAGAACACGTTGATAGCTGCGCGATGCTGTCAGCGACGCGGCCTGAGACTTCTGAGAAAGCAGTGGGTGCTTCAGGTTTATATGGAGGTGTGGGTGTGTTCTGCTTTGGTGTGTCTGAAGCTGATGATCAGGCAGTTCCTTTGCTTTGGCCTCTCAAACCCACCATGGGCGTTCTCTGTTGGTATATCAAGGGAGGAAGGAAGGGAGGGTCAAGAATAATGCAGTGCAGTGCTGCAATGTAGAGGGCAAGAATAAATGTGTGTGTGTGAGCACTTACACAGCAATGGGTGCTGTAGAGAGGAAAAAGAAAGAAATATGAAGTGTTGTGAAGGAGAAAAAAAACAGAGAAAACCCAGTGTCATCAGTATAATGAAGCTGATGAAGTTGTTTCTCTTATCACCTCCACCATACTTGTGACAAATCTGTCGTGTTGTTATATGACTGTATATCAATATAACATCATCCTTTCACAGATCTCCTTAAAGCTGCTGTAACTATTATCTTTATCTGAACAATGGAAAACAACTACATAAGTGAAGTATGAGCAGTGATAACTCCACAAAGGATCGTCACAGGATTGTTTTTCTTGGCTCTGCTGAACAGTTTAGCTCATTTTTGGTTCAACAACCTGCTACTGTTTTGCTTTGAGTCACTCCCAATATTATTCGTATTCAGTCACAGTGTTCAGAAAAAAAAAAGAAAGAAGCTTTGTTCGACTAGTCGTACGCTAACTTCCCAGTGGCAGCAGGCAAACAGCATTAGTGAGCAGCTGATGAACACAGTGGAGCATCTAAAGCAGGGGTGGATAGTATTTATTTTACTGGGCAAAAATACCATACTAAACTTTCAGCATAGTGAGGCAACTAGAGCCCCTTTCAGACATACACTCCATTCTAGTAATCTGTCAGCAGCCGAATGTGTCGGCTTCATGTCTGCATGCGCACCTGCTTTTCCATAAAAGTCACGCTGGCAGTTCCACCAGGTCAGACCTTGTAACATTTCTCTGTCGCTTTCAGCACAGCACAGGTCCCATTAATGTGTAGCCACTGTTATGTTATCTATAGTGTTTATTTGTGTTTTGCTGCTTGCTTGTTCTCTCCTCAGCGTGTGTGTGTGTGTGTGTGTGGTCCTGGTTTCTGAGTGAATGGATTAGGAGCAGGTGGTGACCATGGATTGGCTGCCTCGCCTGATTCCAGCCGCACAATTGGTCAGGGGGCGGGTCCTTCCGCTATTTGAGCAGCCCGCCAGCTGCACTCGGCCTCCTCACCTCCAGCCTTGCCACTACAAGGGATGCCAGCTCGCCACTTGTGTCTTTGTGCTGTAGGATGCGGCAGCAGCAGCACTAGGTTGCCAGTAATTGAGCAACACCAACTTTGTGACTTTTTAAACTTGATAATATTGTAAATAGCCAGATAGCAGTAGTAGGAGGGAGAGGGTTTTTCTTTTAACCCCTTTTCTCCTGTTTTTGGTTTCTTAGGTAGGTATGATTACTGTCTTTTATTTACCTTTTTTTTGTGACAGGGAAGTTAGGGTTAATTTAGAGTGTTTTTGTTTGTTATTTTGGCCTACGTCTCCTTCTTTACTGAAAGAAACTGCTCGTTTTGAGACTTGGCATGTCTGGTTGCTGGTCTTCTTTTGGAGTGGGAAGTCTGGTGGAGCAAAATTCATGTTATGCCAAAGGTTCCCCTAGACCTGGGCATAACACCGCACACAAGAAATGGCACATCTAGTTGTGTGAAGTGATGAAGGAAATGATTTTTTCCACATTTCAGCCCCAGTATTCATCCAAAGGCATGCACAGAACTCTTTAAAATGATTTTTCTTTTGCCTTTACTAATCAGAACAGTAGAGAGAGACAGGAAAGGAGTGAGAAGAATGGGGAAAGACCTGCAGCAAATGGCCGTGGTTAGATCCCACGACCCGCTGAGTTGGGGACTGTAGCCCCCGTTTGTGAGTCGCTGTCTCATCCAGTTGAGCTACCGGGGCGCCCACGTACAAAACTTTTAATGTGTGTTTTCCAAAATCTCAGCAGAGTTTTTCACACGCTTTACTCTATGATTTCAAATCAATTAGGCAAAAAAATGACCATAAAAATAAAAGTTTGCTGTGATTAAAATAGACACTACAGGATCTGATGACACTGTAAAGTAGTCTGTTAGTTATTTGAACACGTTGATAAGCTGCTGTTAGTTTAGTCTTTAGTTTGTTCTTGTGTTCTTATGTATTCTACATCATTTGATCTGTTATCTAATCTGCTCTAATACCTGACGTATCGCATGCGTGTGGTTGGTGGGCCTGAATGACAGAATGCCGTCACGTTGACAGACTGATGAAGCAGCAGTGTTACATATCCTGTGTCTGAAAAGGGCTTATACACCTTCTTCTGCTTCTGTTTTCAGGTGTCATAAAATCTGGCCCCTCACAGATCAGATGAGAAAGCATAAAGAGCAGCAAAGCCCCAGTGGAAACAGGACGTGGGTGTGCAATGGGAGAAATGGAGGACTCAGTAAGGATAGTGGGGTATGAATCTTTTGCATTTGAAGTCCATGCATATGCCCAGGCTTGTCTTTTGTCCTTTATCTTTTACATAAGCACAATGTGAAGTGATGGATCCCATCTAGTTGTTACTGTAAGACTGTATCAGGAAGAACTGGAATACACAGCTCATGTTGCAGATGGCATCCCTGTAGTGGTTGAATATCAGTGTTACACTGTGAAAATATACATTTTTTATTGAATTAACTGCTTTTTATTGATATTGATATGAGCTACATGCATATAGGAGATGGGTGGCCATTTATTCTGCAAAATAAACTCCCCCTTAATCACTCTGGAAATGAAATAAAGCAAGAGAAAGATTCAAAAGTATGCAGCTTTGAATCACTGTGGCGCTGGCAACCATAACCTTGTGGTCTGTTGACTTGGCCACTAGGGAGCGCTGTGGTTCTTCAGGTCCCAGGTCCATTTTAGCTTCACACCAGTACATGGTTGAGTCGTACTCTGTACTGGCGTCGGTGTACAGAGTGAAGGCCTCAGACACTGGTGTCTTGCTGGTGTTGTTGGAGCGGAGTTGACCCAGTACTGTCGACCCTCTGTAGAAGGTCACAGTGAGGTGTTCAACAGGTGCCACATCATA